TGTGGGGGGGGGGGGGGGGGGGGGGGGGAACCAACACCCTGCTCCTGTGACGTGCAATTTGTAGCAATAAAAAAATTTAAAGTTTATCAACCTAATGTTAATTTGCAAATCCAAGTTGAAAGGACGAGAGAAAGGGAGTGGAAAGCGCTGAATTTCATTCCTGAACTGACAAACAGGCTGCCAAATCTTGACTTAAATGCTACATAAAGTCTCTAAAAAGTTTCACATAGGCTCTGAGAAAAAATATAAAATGTATTAATATGGAGAAAATGGGTTTGGTATTTACAGTGACAATGGATGATCTGCTACTTTGGGCTTCAATTTAACCTGGTTTGTCCAGTGAGGAAACACTATTGTCGAGATTGGAGTTGCAGGAGGTAAAACAAAACAAAACAAAAAAACCTGTTGGCAGTAAAAGTTCTCTACTGCCCTAGAATAATGAACATATAATGAAATTTTTATGTTTTGGAGAATCTCTTCTATGGTCCCAGGTGGCTTGTAAATATTACTTTATGGACTTCTTCATGTTATCGGAAAGGCCTAATGCAATTAAAAAAAAAGTCTGCCTCTTGCTATTGAATAAATAATTTTCTGTTAAAAAGGTGATTGTTACTGTTGAGAGATTTCCACTGATCAGCGTCCATTTTCTATAATTACACATGGATTCTCTAGAACATTTTATATAACTCACTGCCACTCACTATCTGTCTTAATTTTTTTTTACCAACAGAGGAGCAGTTTTATTCTCCGATAGCCTTGAGAGAAGCTCAGATTTTTAAAAAAATTTCAAATGGATCTGCTTAACCAACCCTTAGAACCTATGGCAAACCTAGGCTTGAAAAACTCACCAGTGCTAAACAGGCTGTGAAACACAACACAAATCCCTCCCCAAGAAAAACAACAAGAGCAGTAATAATAATTATTCCTGTTATAAACTCTTTGTATGATATTACAGAAATGCAGCTCATGTATGGAATGAAAAAATGGTAAATAAATAGTTACTGTTTCTGGACAAAATGGCTCAACAGCTTTCAGAATTTGCCACCACTTGTAAAAAGATATCTATCCCCTCTGCCCCCCAAAATGTACACCAAAGTACAAGGATAACCATATATAATAAAGGGTGTGTTGGGGGGGATAGATTCAAACTTTCTAAGGGAGTTTGTATTCTTATTAGCCCAATGATGCCTCTGTAATGTTATATTGAATCACTAACATAAAAGTTAGAATATTTTCCCTTTCCCTCTTAGCAAATTAAGCAGCAAAAAATGTAAAAAAGAATAAAATTATTTTTAAAATATCCAATAGGGAAAAGTGCACATACAGTAACCAAAATGAACCCCTTCAGCCTGTCACCAAAATAAAAGAAAGCAAAAAAAAAAATCTCAAAATAAAAATCCTGGCAGAAAGAGTGGAACCTGCTTTCTCTTTTATGTTTATATTTTATGTACGGTAAACATGCACTTTAAACTTACTATATTTAGAGTGTGTATATATATTATATATAGATATAAAACAAAGAACAAGACTCATTGCTAACTCTGGTTACCAGCATTATAGCTCAAACTCATTGGCAAATACTAATAAAAGCCCATTTAGCAGTAAATAAGGAGAACATGATATATGGACAGACAGATGGAACTGCATAAACAGAAAAGAAAAAGCAGAGAGACCCACAAACATACGGAGAGGGCTGTTTTAAAAGAGTGAAAGATATTGATTTACTTGGAACTAGTGTTGGAAAACAAACATATTTGTTTCCTTCATGATTTAAAAAAAAAAAAAAGTAATTAAAGTGAATCATAAGAGGGCACACCCTTAAACAAGTAGAAGGGGAAAAAACATTTTGCTGAGGGTAAGGCCTTCTATAGATGTTCCAAATTTTAAGCTAGCAAATGGGTCTGACAAACTTGTATCTCTAAATCAAAAATCAAGGGGGGTGGTAAAAGAATAAAGAAGTGTCAAGGGCTTGGGGGGAAAGCATAGGGATTTTTTTTTTCTTTTTTCTTTTTTTATAAAAGTTGACTGGCCTACCTTGTTCCCCAGTCCTCAGTTTGTCTCCTCATAGTCGCTGTCTCCCTGGAAGTACAGTGTGAGTGGTAATGACTGCCTGCCTCCCTAATGAGTCCATTTTCCTGCTCTTGATGTTGTGTATATACACACACTGCAACCTACCTTACAAACCACAGAGACGGGAAAGGGAGAGAGAGCGAGGGAGAGAGAGAGAGCCAGAGGGAGAGCAAGCGGGAGTATGAGAGACACAGAGAGAGAGAGAGGGAGAGAGAGAGAGAAAGGCACACACAGACAAAGCCCTCCTACCAGACAGCAGACAACCCTCCTTCCCCTATCTAGCAAAATACAACTCGGCTAATGCAGCAACAGGTTCAATACTGCCAGACTGAGACAGTGTAAAAAAGGTATATAGTGCAGATTGGGACTGCTGGCAAATAAACAGTTGAATGCCAGCTGGCTCCACCTTTGTTATTTATGTTACAGGATGTTGGAATGCATTGTTTCAGACAGTCCGTGTCATTACCATAAATACATTTTTTGTGCATATTAGCACTGAGCACTGAAACGTATCAGCCATTCTGCTCCGTAACCTTATAGCTTTAACACATGCAGGGATGGTGTAAACATATCTCTTTTGACAGACAGACTACACAAAGCCCGCTGATGATTTTAAAGTCATGAGATCTTTCAAGAAAGAAGCTCCTGAAAATAGGTTTCCCTAGACAATAGGGGAGCAGGGAAAACTGATCTTGATGAGGAAGAAGTCTCTGTAAGAGGTCATTTAGCAAACAGTTTCAAAGAAAGAGTCCTTCTCCCCAACACTGTTCTCCTCTCCCACCAAAAAAATGTGTATTAGGAAGGTTCTGCCCTTACAGCTATAATAATATATTGTGCTTATGTCTGAACAGGTGCAATGCATATAGTACATAGTGTTACAAGGACAGAAATAAATCCCTCAAATTAAAAAAAAACCTTTTCCCATTTGCAAACAGGACAAGGTTACTCAAAATAAAGAGCCAGACTGAAGTACATTCTCTTCCTACTCCCCATTTTTTAACCTGATGGGAGTGGGGTGAGAAACCAGAAACTTAATTAGTGTTGCTGGACTGGTCTTATTTTATAGAAAACTTGTTTTATTTTTAACTATTCTACCACATTAAAACAAAAACAACCATACATGGGTCACATCAATACTGCATTCTGTGCCCAAAATTATGTTGGCACAGTCCTCCCTCTGAGCACACCAGCTGATACCATGTATACAGCTTCCACCCCGAGATATCCACACTGGAAGGTTGCAAGATGAGGAGGCTATGATACATTGTACTTACAGACTCTCTTTCAACCAAGGATCTCCACGAGTTTTGCAAAGGCGTATCCCATTCCTTGTTTTAAGTGGGGAAACTGAGGCAGGGGTGAAGAAATTTGTGAATCAGTAGGAAAACAGAAATTAAAACTGCAAATTTCCATACATTTTGGGCAACGCCAGACTGGCTTCCTAGTTATGCACTTCCAACTTTGGCTTAAACATGCATCAGAACTAGACATTGGCCCTGAAGGAGAGGATTCAGGTGCCTCTGAAGGGTGATTCAGAGATCCTGAAGCCACTGAAGGACAGAGCAAATAAACATGGGCTGTGTCTGAACTCCTGCCCCTCTCTGGAGAGTAGACAGTAGGCACATCTGCTTACTCAGGATCCACAGCCCACTTTCAAGGGGAAGTGCCTAACTGGGCAATCAGTGGGAGTTTGGGATTGTTGGCCCTCCTTGGGCTGAGATGATTCAGATCCATACCTCCCACATCCAAGGAGAGTACCTAACCCCCAGGCGTGGCAAAGGTTCCTGCCACCTCTCTTGTTGAGGCTGGATCACATAACCAAGTAATTCAAAGCAGGGACAAGAAGGGAAGCAAAAAACAGTTGTGGCATTCAGGGAGTCCTGGGTTCCAGCCCCTGGTCCCAGGATGTGGTTATGCATATTGCATTGGATCACCAGTGGATAGAAACCAGACATAATCCTAAGAGCAAGGATCAGAGCTCATGCCTGGATTCTAGCTGGGTCTTTGTCCTTGATCTACTCTGGCTACAAATGTGTCACCTGACCACTCTACCTCAGTTTCCCCATCTGTAAATGCATGTTGGTAACAGCTATTCTTCCTAGAGGGCAGAGATTCCCAAACTTTTTCCTACTGCATACCCCCTTCCAAATGTACCAGCTGCCCATGTACCCCACCATCATATGTTTTATATCTTAACCCCCTTAATGCCAATTATTATTATAATGAAAATTAAATCTACCATTACACAATTTTTCCCGCATACCCCACAGAGATGTTTTGCGTGTCCCCAGGGTACGCATATCACAGTTTGGGAACCCCTGGTATAAAAGAAGCTGAGAGGAGTAAATCATTTACACCGGTAAAAAGTTTTCTCTTTCTGGGTTGATCTATGTGAAATCTAGCCACTGATGTTCACAGGACTTTGTGCCATTCTATATGTTTCATACCACATGGATTTCACACCCAGAAACTTAGAGGCAAATCAGGACATCAGATAGAAAGCACCTTTACATCCTTGAGGGATATTTCCCCACTCAGCCTCATCTATACACAGTGGATTAAATCCAAAAAAGAGATCTTAGCCCCCATCAAGTTTTGGCAGAGTTCAGAGAAACAGATCCAAGATGATCACGTTATGAAAGTATATATCCAAATGACAGCCTGAGAATCTAATCTGAACCCCATCACCTTTTTTGAAATTCAGATTTAGATGTGAATGAGAGAATTTGATTCAGGCCCTTTCAAGCTGAAGGAAGCTTGAGCTGCAATAAGAACTAGCTCACAACTTTCCGTGTCTTTTTGGAATTTCAGATCAGTACTCAAACTGGAAAGTCTGGATCCAGATATAAATCATAAAACTGGATCAGCTTCCTATCCAGCTTTGGGAAGTTCAGAACTAGATCTAAACTGGAACGCCAAAACCTCCCAAATAACTGCTAAAATTTGAGTCTGGATCAGAACTGTAGAACCAGATCTGAACCCGCTCAAACTTTGACTTACGCATGACTGAGAGAACCAAATCCAAACTTTCTCAGGATGTGAGGCAGTTTGGATCTTGATCAGATCCACCTCTTCATAAAAATTAAAATTTGTATCTGAACTGAATCCTAGGTTCAAACTGTAGGGAAACTTAGGTTTGGCTATTAACTTCCTAGCACATGATCTTTCGTAAGATGGATGCAAGCCCACCCCACTTCTCATTCTGAGAATACCAGGGAAAGTTCTCATCTGGATTCAAATCATGCAACAAAGGCAGCTAAAGGTACATGGGGAATGGTTTCCCTGGGCACAGAAGCAGTTCTGCACAGAAGGTAGTGGTGCTGTGGGCTGCAAGCAGAGATAGTTGGGGGATGCAGGATATTTTATCACTTTTTAAAGGCAATAGTTAGGCGCAAGGATCCCAACAGGCCAAAGCAGATAGGCATGAAAGGAATGGCTTTGCATGGTGCTAAAACTGGATGCTACCATCAGTCCCCTAGAGCCGTGTTAAGTCCTGCTCATGCCAGAAGACATAACATGGAGAAAATAGCAGAAGTCTGGATCCCCTAGTGTTAGCATCACAGTTTTGCTTCACCTACTTCCAGGAATAGGAAAGGTTCCTTGCCTAACTAGTCAGATCTCAGCCTAACCAGGGTACAACAGAGTCCTGAGGACCTGATTCTCCACTACCTGAAGACTCATTCAACAGGCTGTTTAAACCTATGCCACAAGTTGTTTAAACCACCTCAGTTCTCTCCCTTAAAATCCCTTTTTCTTTTTAATCCTCCCACATTATGACTTATCAAATCACAGAATCACAGAAACTTAGGGTTAGAAGGGACCTCAGAAGGTCACCAATCCAACCTCTTGCTCAAAGCAGGACCATCCCCAACTAGATCATCCCAACCAAAGCTTTGTCTAGCCGGGTCTTAAAAACCTCCAAGGATGGAGCTTCCACCACCTCTCTGGGTAACCTGTTCCAGTGTTTTACTACCCTCCTAGTGAGAAAATTCCTCCTAATATTTAACCTAAACTTCCCTTGCTGTGACTTGAGACCATTGCTCCTTGTTCTGTCATCTGCCACCACTGAGAACAGTCTAGCTCTATCCTGTTTTGACCACCCCCCTTCAGAATTTTTTTCTTTTTTGAATTGAAAAAAATCCCTATGCTTTAGGGATAGTTGAAGGCTGTTATTAAGTTCCCTCTCAGTCTCCTCTTCTCTAGACTAAATAAGCCCAGTTCCCTCAGCCTCTCCTCATAAGTCATGTGCCCCAGGCCCTCACCATTTTTCTTGCCCTCTACTGGACTCTTTCCAATTTGTCCAGATTCTTTCTGTCATGGGTGGCCCAAAACTGAACACAGTACTCCAGATGTGGCCTCACCAGTGCTGAATAGAGGGGAATAATCACTTCCCTTCCCCTACTGGCAACACACCTACCAATGCAGCACAGTATGCTGTTAGCCTTCTTGGCAACAAGGGCACACTGTTGGCTCATATTCAGCTTATTGTCTGCTGTAACCCACAGGTCCTTTTCTGCAGAGCTGCTGCCCAGCCAGTCAGCCCCCAGCCTGTATTGGTGCATGAGACTGTTCTATCCTAAGTGCAGGACTTTGCACTTGAACTTGCTGAACCTTATGAGATTTCTTTTGGCCCAATCCTCCAATTTGTCCAAGTCAGGGGTTTTCAACCAGGGTTATGCATACCCCTGGGGGTACTTTGGAAGGCCCCAGGAGGTACGTGGCAGTGGTGCGGAGAAGCTGCCAGCACTTCTGGCTTCACTGCCTCGCACCACATATGGGACACCCTGCCCCTCCTATTGATGAGCCTCCCATTGACTCCCTGCTTTTCGACCAGCCACTGGGGGTATCCCAACCAAAAAAGGTTGAAAACCCCTGATCTAAGTCACTCTGAATCCTAGCCCAACCCTCCAGTGTATCTAATGCTCCTCCCCAGCTTGGTGTCATCTGCAAACTTGCTGAGGGTGCACTCTAAGCCATCTTCCAAGTCACTGATGAAAGCATTGAACAAAACCAGCCCCAGGACTGACCCCTGGGGCACTCCACTTGATACCAGCTGCCCACTAGACATCGAGCTATTGATTACTGTTGGGAGGTGCCCGATGCTCGAGTCAGTTTTCTATCCACCTTACAGTCCATTCATCCAGACCATACTTCTGCCTGCAAGAATGTTATAGGAGACCATATCAAAAGCCTTGCTAAAATCAAGGTATGCCACATCCACAGAGCCAGTCACCTTGTCAAAGAAGGCAATCAGGTTGGTCACACATGACTTGCCCTTGGTGAATCCATGCTGACTATTCCTAATCACCTTCTTCTCCTCCAAGTGATTAAAAAGGAATTCCTTGAGGATCTTCTCCATGATTTTTCTGGGGACTGAGGTGATCACTTCTTGTAACCAACAACAGCTGGGTTGAACTGCAACTTACCGTGTCCAAGAGTTTGATCCTGCTCAAGAGGTGTTTTACCAGTTATTTTAATAAAAGCAGAACCAAACACTAAATGAGGA